TTGCTGGCCCGTGGTGCCGGGGGGTCTGCAGCCTTGGGTTTGACGGTGCCCATTCCGTGGCGGCGCCAGGACCTGTGTCCACACGTGGGCCGCTCTGGCTCCAGTGGGCCATGTGCTGCTGACCTTGTGCGAGGCTGCCCGTCCGCGGGGGCCTCCTCAGCTGCGGGACCCCAGGGAGCACGCTGAGACTCATCTCATGGCAGCCCTTCCCCTGGGCCTTCTGGTTGATCCCATCACCCTCCCCTGAGCTGCGAGGAAACTATGAGGGACCAGGGACGCGCTCTGCACGTGGGTGACCCTGACCCGATGCTCTGAGTGCCCCCTGACGCTCTCTCTGCTCTGTTTGCAGGATGATGATGGGCCGATTTGGTAAGTGGCCTGGTGGGGGAGGGGCGGGTGCCTGAGCTGTCCTGTCCCAGGGAACTCCCGGGTTCACTTGGTCACAAAGGGGAGTGGGACGCGGGGGCCGGCCTGCTGCTCATGGTTCCAGAGCCCTCGAGAACATGCGGAGCCCCCACCCCTGTGCTCCGGGCTCCGGGTTCGTTTCTCAGTCATGAAGAGCTGGGTGGCGGGGGCAGACGAAGGCAGAGTCTGGGGTGTGGCTGTGCCCTCGCTGTCCAGGCTGGAGCTGGACGGGGGAGGGCACTGGGCAGAGCGGTGCCCCACCCTCACCCCTCATCCCCGGCGACAGCCTGCCTCTGTGATGAGCTTCCGTGCAGGCATTCCCCGGACCCTCGGGTGACAGGCTTCCTTCACGTTGGCCGCCATAACCCTGATCCCGTTGGTGCCCTTGGCCCGCCCTAGCCCCTGGGTCCTCGTCTCTGAGTCGGGGCAGCGGGCACAGGCTGGGGGAAAGCAGCGAGTGGCAGGCCCGCGGCTCAGCCCTTCCTGAGCTCAGAGGCCCGTCTCAAAGGGGGTGGTCGCTGTCTCTGGCTGCGCCCCGTTACAGCCCAGGACCCCATCTTCATCTCTTGGGGCCCGTTTAAGGCCTCAGGGGAGGGAAGGCCTGTCCTCAGCCTTGGCCTGGGTCTCCCTCTTTTGGGGATATCCCCACACAGAGGCCCCCAGATTCTGTTCTCCAGGCAGTGGGACAGGTCTTAGCCAAACGGCAGCTCCCCCCCCGCCCGTGGGCCCCCCAC